GTGTGTGTGTGTGTGTGTGTGTGTGTGTGTGTGTGTGTGTGTGTCTGCCACTCCTACCCTCCAGGACGTTTCTAAAGCTCAAGTTGGAGAATCGGTCCATGGGCCCCGTCTCGTACTCAGGAAGGCCCACAGTGAAATCAACGTCAGCTCTTGTGGGGAGTCGAGGCACGCGGTTCCTATCATGGTTGCCTGGGTTACGCAACAGTGGGCCCTCCCCGGTGGCGTTACACAATGCTTCTCGACTGTTGTACTCCTCTGGCTGGGTGCAGATCACCTACACACAGACACACACAGAAACACGGCTGGTTAAGTTAAAGTACCTGTACACTTGACGTTGAGTCAATTGGCTCTCATACAGGAATATTTACTTTTATTCATGAGGAACTGAAATCATCAGACACATACTGAACTGTTACACAGTTTTATTTAAAATACTCTGAATGAATATGACAAAGGCTCTGAAAAGGGAATTTCATTCTTCCATTTCACACTGGCTGGTTCAGCTGAGGATGAAATCTAAAAGAAAAACCTGTATCTCCACCTAAATCTCTAATTTCTTTGGATTAAGAGACAAAATCATATTTAACAAAACAAACCTGCAGGATGACATAGAAACAAAACATGTCTTTCTTTTAGGAAAGGAGTTATTGGTACCTTAACAACGTAGAAGGATGTTTTGCTCCTACTGAAACATGTACTCACCTTCCATGAGGAGAAGACGGAGCCGGGGCTGATGAGGTTGGGATTGCGGGAGCTGCGTCCACCCATCAGAGCATCGGTGCACACCTCACAGGACTGGGCGTCCCTCCAGTCCCAGTACGGGATGGTGAAGTTAAAATCTCCCGTCAGCTTCCTGATCTCATTCTCCCAGTGAAGCAGGAAGACTCGGTGCCACGGAAGGAAGGCCGCAGATTCATGGGCAAAGTCGATGTCTGTCCATACGTTCCCTGCCCCCCCCAGGAAGGCGTCCCGGGACACGTAGTAGTGCATCCACACAAACAGGTCATAGGTGTTGATGTCAGAGAACATGGGGTTCTCACCGTTCTCGCCCATCTCTGCTCTTGTTGCTGTGGATATGACGTAGTCTTGGCTGATGGTGTTTTTAGCCAGGTTCAGGTAAGAGACAAACTTCTGCTGCTCAGCAGTGGACATGGTCATGATGTTCCTGCGCACAGATTCCCTGTACTCTGCACAGTTCGAACCCCAGTAACCAAACCTGCATTCTCCACAGTTAAAGCCTCCATAGTTTCCAGCACAGCGACACGTCCGGTTAAAGAAGGCTAAAGGCCAGCGCTCTCTGTCATCAATCCCACGGTGAGGGTACTGGGGCCCGTGGGGCTCATCTGAGACCAACACCTCGGAGCAGAAACCACGGCCTGACATGGCACCGCAGACTGAGCCGTCACCGTCCCACACCGGGCAGCACTCTTTGGTCCGTAGTCCCTCTGAGTTGGCACACGGGCGGGGGAACTGACAGAAAGACGTCCCGAGGAGCTGCAGCAGGAGTGCAGATAAACACACAGTCCTCATGATGAAAAATCAGGGCAACTCCAACCTTAACCACAGTCTGAAAGTAAGCTCCTGATGAGAGGATGGACGCAAATGAACCTGAAACAGCACAGAGGAATAGATTCAGAGCTGGAGAGATTTTTAGGCTGCAAGCAGAGAACAACAGGATTCACATCCCACTGAATTTGTTTTAGTTTTTTACTTTTATCAAAGACAACACTGTCTACCAGTACACAAATGTTTCCAAAGATAATCGATTACAATTTTGTTACCCCTCCACTCAGTCCTCTAACCCTCCCCAAGACCTCCTCTCCTTCCACCCTCGCTCTCTTACACCCAACCAACAGTCTCATGTTTTCACCCTATTCATTGAACCGTTTTAGGGGCCGTCCTGTGACAAAGTCTGTGATCTTACTGTGATCTCATGCACACGGTAAGACACACACACACACAGTTTTGCCTGGGGCATAGTGAAGCTGGGGTCAGCTGGTCTTGAGATAAAATGAAAGGGGAATAGGGAATATTATCCTGAGCATGTGATGGAGTGTGAGTACACATACTTGTGTATGAGTGTATGAGTGTGTGTGTGTGTGAGTGTGTGTGAAGAGCCCCCTCCTCTTTGCAAAGACTAACCAGGAATTTATGCATGATCAAGTGTGTACGTGCTGTTAAATCTGAATAAGTGAGAGATGAAAAAGAAAGATAAGTGAATGTTGAATCAGTATAACACAGTATATTAATCTTAATCACGGCAGGTTTCCAGTACGGTCAGACTCCTTCAGTTGGTCAGTCTCTCCTTTCGCTGAAGAAGTCCTGACAGTTGTGTTCAGGAGGTCTGTGCCATTTGGTGTTGCCCGTATGGTCCACAAAGGATGCGGGGAAACCTCTGTATTGGTTTAACAGCAAATATTGTGTGATGATTGTTTATCCAAATCTATATATTAATTTGCTTCATTTATTAAATCAGACAAGGAGGTTATGTTTGCACCCTTCTGTTTGGTTGTTGGTTTGCAGCATTACACAGTTCAACAACTGAACAGATTTCCTTAGTGGAAGAATGCATGTGGGTCAGGGAAATCTTTTCAGGAGTCGCATCCATTTTTTTACTTTTCTTAAATGTTTCTTAAAAGTTTTTCAACATATTCATTTAGGTGCAGCAGAAAACTCTGTAATAAGAATACAATTTAATCTTGTCTGATATCTGAAGCCATCATTCATTTAATTTATTTTCACTACGACGAAAACATCATATCTATTTGGATTCAGCACTATGAGGTCATTTGAAACAAAGAAATACCAGTCTCAGTCTTTATAACAAGCTCAAAATCCTTTCTGGTGGCTAAGCCAATTCCTAACAAGGGTGTGAAGGGCAGAACTGTAGTGTGAAAAATACTACAGTATTACTACTGTATTTCAATATTTCACAGTAAAGGTTATTTTATGGTACCAGGGCAATCTGTATAAAAAAGGGTTCTGAGAAATCAAAAACATTTGTAATATTAGTCGGAACAGAGCCATGAAATGAACATAATAGACGACATAAGGGACACCTGGTCGATTCCAGTATTTAAATGGTTTACTAAAATTGTCGTAGTTTGTGATCAAGCTGAAAATTATGGAATTTAGACCAGAATAAAATATCTATTTGTCCCTTATTGGCTTTCTCTGGTGAACTTATGGTTTTATTACTTTTTGAAATGGGGTTTAGAAGCCGTTCATGCTGCAGCAGCATATACCATGACTGAATAAGAAAAGCTAGTCTTAATGTCCTGGAAAACATTTGATCCAGTTATCAACAGATAAAACGTCACACGGTATTACAGCTCGGTGTTCTCTGATCTGACTAAACACTTGGTTTGTGACCTTAAATGTCGTGCATGCTAATGTGAGTTTCACTTTCATTTCATGCCAAATAAATACACACAGCCAGTAACAGTTTTCTCCCTTATTCCATTATAAGAATGAAATGCTGAGACAGAAAACAGCTTTGTCCAGACGATTCCGTCAAACAAAACATCAACTGTCTCAGTTGTTTTAGTAAAAAAGTCATTTTTACTCTGTAAAAGAAAAAGAAGACTTAATATATATCCCTTACACATTGTCTTATTTTCATGGGCCGCAGTCCAAGACATTGTTTCACCATCATGTAGACGTTTGTTCTTTAATATGTTTCTGTAAACACATGCTAACACAGAGATGAACACATGAGTCATGGCTAGTGTTACCAGTGTTATATAATATGTAAATTATATCAATAATGACTTTATTTCAATACCATCTCAAAACAGCCATTACAAAGTTCTTCACAAATAAAGATAAAAACAAGAATACAACACATCAAAGACAACAAGCTAAACAATATAATAGCATTTAAAATCAAAGACAACAAATGACAATTCATTATAACATCACTTTCAAATGATTTTAAGTAATGGCGAAGAAAAAGGATATAAGAAACAGTATTCATATCCAAAATAAAGTTTTAGGCCTTATATTGCTTTCTACAATAGACCTTTGACAGAGTTGTTACTGTCTGTACCACAGCGTGATGATCATCCACACACAACAAGAATGTACAATAAGTGGAGGTTTCTTCTAAACGGGTGAGAGTGACTCTTTCCCCTCTGCTCTTCGCCTCCTCAGGCATCACAAGCCGGTCACATGCTGCCGGAGCCAGGCACGGGACGCAGCTTATCCTGCTACAGGAACGCGCTGGAGCGCACAGGAATGATCGTCACAGGATAAACCTGTCTGCAGGGCTGCTTGTGTGTGTGTGTGTGTGTGTGTGTGTATGTGTGTGAGTGTGTGTCCAGATTTCTTTGTGAGGACCATTTTCAGCCTCACCTACAGAGTGAAGACATTTTGTGAAAGTGAAGACATTTTCAAGTCCTCACTTTCTTGACCCACTGTTTGAGGGTTAAGACTTGGTTTAGAGGGTTTGGGTCAGGATTAGGTTTAGGTTAAGATTGGGGTAAAGGGCTAGGGAATGTATTATGTCAATGAGTGTCCTCACTAAGATAGAAATATAAACATGTGTGTGTGTAGCTTGTTCGTCTTTGTCACCTCTTTAGGACATGTTCCAGGAGAGCACTGATCTTGTCAGGACCAGTAGACCTCATGGGGACCAAAGCTCTGGCCTACTGAGGCTAAACATAATTTCCAAACTCCTGGTTAATGTTAGAGGTAAGATGTGAATTGTGGTTAGGTTAAGGTTAGTTATCGACTGGTTGGCATAAGCTGAGAAAAATTAGGATATGGTAGAGGATAGAGAGAGAGAGAGAGAGAGAGAGGTGCAGTTGTGTAAGATTCTACAAGACTGGTTGTTGAAAAGTGATATTTATAGATGTAATGATGTTATTAACTTGATTTTAGGGTTGGAGATAGAATCAGGGTTAGGTTATGGTTAGGGTATGTACTGTAATACGGGTGGATGTGGCCCTGGAGTTAGAGCGGGGCGTAAAACCACCAACCGAATGTTTTGATCCCATTCTCCCCCAACCCCGCATACCGAAGTGTCCTTGGGCAAGATACTGAATCCCAAATTACCCTTGATGTCTGTGGGTGAAGGGTAAAAACTGAACTGCACAGGTTGTGTGATTGAAACTTTCTCACAAATCCACTCCTTCTCCTTTCTCCATCCAGACACAAGAGGGCAGCATGATCCGTTTATTATCTGCAACAGTGGAGCGCCACAGTATGGTTTCACATCATGGTTGTTGTTCGCAGTTAGAGTTTCTGCCTCATCGGTTGTAATGAGGCAGGAGAAGAGGCAGAACACTGGTGATATGACTGACGTGCTGGTGTTTCTTATGTTTATTTGCCTTTCTTTTTTTTGTTTCATAAAGCTTATCCATATTAAAATCCACCCGGCTTCTGCTGTGCAGAGATGACAGATAGATCCTCCTGATTTCTACTGCAGAGGAGAGACATCTTTTACACCCTCATGGCCCCGAGGGGTGATTGCTCCCAAAAAGTGAGGCCAAAATGTCCTGATCGCCCCCTGGTGACTGGCTCCAGTATAGGTCACAAACCTGGCCTCCTTCATATCAGCAGATGGGACATGGACCTAGATCTTTTGTACCACAAAGATTTTTGTCCATGTCAATGTTTCTGACAAGTTTAGTTTCGATCAGTTTTAGATAGTTCTTATCACACTGATGTTCGTCCTAGTCTTAAATTGTGTGATGCAATAAAGCTGAAATGTCAGGATTGATAACTTTGACTAACTTATGATTTGTTGAGAACGTGTGTTAGTGGGACCTCAACACCATGTCTCCATCCCCCAATCACTACTGTGTAGATGGCAGCGATCGTATCTGGGGTATTTTGGCTTCATTTCTGAATAGTGGGAGGATGTGGAGACGTGTCCATCTTTATAAACAATCTTTGGTATGGTCCTGTGCGAGTGTTGATGTTGATTGTGTATATTAGTCTGTGGGTGTGTGTTTGTGCATGTGTATGTGTGTGTTTTACCCACAACCACGCAGTCAGTTAGAGGTTATGACCTCCTGACTAATGACCCAATGCTCCTCATGCATCTAGACACAGTGAGGCAGATAGTTGTACTAGAGCTGAAGCAATTAGTCAGTTAATCAATCAATTGACCAGCAGTATGTCAATGGGCAAGTTTTGATAAATCTAAATCAATCACATCTGAAAAACATTGATAAACTAAGTGATAATTGTATTGAGATTCTAGCTCTATTTTCAATGTTTACTTTGAACATTTTTATTCACATTTTGATGAAATCTTCAGGGAATAAATTCATACGCTGCTGCAGCCTCCCTGGGTTGTGTGGCGTCCCTGTTATCAGGGCGTCCTGGGTAGTCAGAGACACCATGACAGCTCGTCAACCCGTGCTGACAGTTAACATCGATGTTGAGGCTGCAGAGCCTGGCTCAGCCTGTCTAAGGATCTGAGGACAAACCCTCTTTTTTTAATGTGCATTGAATTTGCATGTATAATAAACTGATCAGCACAATTTTACATACATTACATATTAAAGCACACCTCTGCTCCAGTGGGCTTCTCTTTTCAGATCATTTTCTCCATGCAATAATTTCATTACTAGGTATATAAATCAGTAAAGTAAGACTTTTTACTTACAGTTGCAGTGAATTTCAACTTATTTCAACATTACAGCAGAGTGAAGTTGTGTGTGGATAGATCTGGCTTTTGTGTCAAAATGTCACAAGAAAAATATTGTTTCTATGGCAGCCAGCGACATTATTTCCACCAGCATCTCAATGCATCAAGATGACTGGCTTATTAAAGGATAGAAAAACCAAGGTGTGAATGTTTTCTGCTCATCAGAAGCTT